CAATGAGCCCTCTATCCGTCGCACCATTGAAAATGAGCGAATAATTCCTAGTACCAGCCAAATAGCGACAGATATACAGCGCTTTATGGAGGTGGTCTTGGGACGGATTGGCAGCAAATTGTGACAATTTGGTCACAGCAAATGCAATGTCAGGACGTGTGCCTAGCATGATGAAGAGAAGAGATCCAATGACTGATTGGAATTTCTTCCTGAGCTCTGGATCGACTTCATCCTCATTTGGCATTGGAACATATCCAGCCGGTAGAGGGGTCGCTGCGAACTTGGCGTTCTGCATCCCAAAGCGCTCTAGCACCTTGTCGAGATAAGGAATCTGATCAATCTTGATCGAAGATCCTACTCTACTAAGGCGCACGCGCAAGAACTCTGGAGTATCTTCAGAATTGCGGCATTCCCATTGCTTGTTGAACTCAGCCTTGAGAAAGGCGAGGAGCTTCTTGTTCTTGGAGAAGAACAGTGCATCATCCACATAGACTATTATGACGGCTATGCTGCCATCAGAGTCCTTGTAGAAGAACACGCCGGCATCCGATGTTAGTCGGATCCAGCCCATGGCTTTCGTGGACTTGGTCAGCGCTCTCCACCATGCTAAAGCAGCTTGTTTGAGTCCATAGATTGCCTTGTGCAAGCGCATGACTTTGCGCTCTTGGCCTCTCGCCAAAAAGCCTTCGGGTTGTTCCATGTAGACCTCTTCGTCAAGCTCTCCATAGAGAAAAGCCTTACTGACGTCGAGTCCAGACCAATGCCAATCATTTAGCGCTGCAAGCGCCATGACTAACCGGAACGTCTCATACCTGACAACAGGAGAGAATATCTCGTCATAGTCAACACCTTCGACTTGACTGAAACCCTTGGCAACTAGGCGGGCACGTTTTCGGCCATCAGATTTTTGGTCAAAGACCCAGCGACATCTGATAACCTTCCGTCCTTTTGGGCGGTCCACAAGGGAATAGACCTTGCGCTGACGAAGTGCCTCTAACTCGTCGCGACAAGCATCAATCCAACCTTTCTGTTGTTCAGAAGGCAACCGCTTGATATCGCGGAACGTCCAATCGCGAATTTTGGACGTATCAGGTAGGTTCTCATTTGGAACCGCTTTTGACAGCAGCGCCGTGATGAGCTCTACTCCCCCTTCCCGGCATAGCTTTTCCATGCGTGCATCCTCGTCTAGATCATCAGAAGCACCCGCGTTTGAGGAATCTGGTTGCGAGCTAGGGCCGGGAACCCCTGCATCAGCACCGGTTGATGGTTGAGATTGGGAGCTACCCTTATCTTCACCAACATACCGCTTCCATCCTCTGCTGTTCTGAATGTCACGGACTATATCCGTAGGGGTACGCTTTTCCCCATAGACGTTTCCTGGACGTGTAGGCACATTCCGCTGGCGTGAAGACCTTCGAGGCTCAGGAGCTGGTGAAGCTTCCCGACTTGGTCGTGGAATTCTACTTCTACGAGTCCTCTGAGGTTCATCCCGACGCTCTGGCGGTGGGTCCTGACGATTATGACCGTCGTCACCATCATCATTTCCCTGTACGGGAGGTGGTGGAGCCGGATCAGATGGCATGGGAAATGGAAAAGGATTATCTCCATATAGCCAATCTTCTCCGTCTACCTGTGGTGGATCTTGTGGATTCACTGGGTCATCACGTTCTGGAAATTCCTCTCCAACAGGAACGTGGGGTGGTCGATTGCTGTCAGGACAGCGGGGGAACAACTCCTCGTCGAACAATGCCTTGGTGGCGACGAACGTGGAATTGTTTGTGCGCATGAACAAAAATCCTTTCACACCATCAGGAATGCCCAAGTAGGTCATCAGCTCCGATTTGGGTGATAACTTGTTGGTGCGCTTCTCATCAGGGATAAAGACGTATGCAGCGCAACCAAAGACTCGGAGTTCGGAAACATCCGGTTTTTCCTTGTGAAGAGCTTCAAATGGAGTTTTCCATTTTAGACGCCTGATAGGTGTCATATTGTAGATCCGTGTCGCATGTTTGATAGCGAATTCCCAATAAGAATTAGGAAGACAGGCAGTGAAGCGCATGGCTTCTGCCTTATCCATGATCGTACGATTGAAGCGCTCGGCATGCCCATTCTGCTGGTGAGCATATGGAGCACCCTTCTCCACTAGAATTCCTTGTTCCGCGAGAAATTCTTCCATTCCCATCCCCATGAATTCTCCCCCATTGTCAATATGCCACTTTTTGATGGTGACATTGAACTGGTTTTTGACCATCGCAATGAAATTGCGCATAGCCTGCTTGGCGTCGGATTTCTGCGCAAGGCATACTGTCCAGCCATAGGAGAGTGCTTCGTCGAAGAAGCTCATGAAGTAGCGGTACTTGTGATAAGACACCGTGGGAAATTGTTTGAGATCCGAGTGGATCAAATCAAACGGATTCTCCGCTCGTTTTTCGGAAGGCGGGAAGGCACGTTGGTGCATTTTCCCTTGCGCGCATCCTTTACACGGTCGGGTTTCCTCGGGAAATACTAGGTCTTCTGGAAAGCCCTTGGTATTCTTCTTTGCCTGACGTAAAACGTCTTTCGACGGATGTGCAAATCGCCGGTGCATGATCTCATAATCCACCTTGTAAACAGTGGACATGGATCGCACTGTCTCAGCCGTGCTAGGCTTTGACATCAGGAAGTACAAGGCAATGTCCTTCCCTAGAGTTCTAAACTCCATGATCGAGAGTGGGGACTTCCCTCGATGTAAGCTGATCCGCGATTCGTCTCCACGAACGCGAGATCCTCCTTTGAGTAAGGAGCCCAAAGACATGAGACGACCATGTAATCCTGGCACTAGGTACACTGGATATATCTGAGAAGTCACCATTGTCTTTTCTCCATGCCTTGTGACGTAATGATCGATGAAGGCTGTTCCTCGACCAATAAGGGCAACACGTGTGTTCTTATCAGCGGTCTGAGCAACAATAGGATCTGAGAGCTTCTCATATCCGACCAGATCACTAATCTCCGATGTCACATGGAGAGATGCACCTGAATCAAGAAGCCATAGAGGCCCTAATTCATGATGATGATGTTTCCCCTTACACTTAGAGCAGGCAGCAAAATCGGAGTGCACACAGAATAGATTGGTACAAAAATCATGCGAACGAATCATCAACGAATTAAGTACAGAACCCGGGGCGGCGGTGATTACGCGCTCTGGCTGTGAGCAACAATCAGAATTGTGCATATGCCCAAGAAGGCAGGGTACTTGCCTTTCGGCGGAAGGAGCGTCCATCTCCTCCAGAAGGGTGTTGAAGTCGACGACTTCATCCCAATTGACCGGTTCAGCCTGGGCGAACTCGCTATCTCCAAACAGAAGATCAAGATCGTTCTGTTGGCCGGTGGCCATCTCGACGTCAGGGATCTCCTCGATACGACTGCGTTTGGCAGGAGGACCACCATCCAGCGTGTGATTCGAGCCGGAAGCAACCGGAGATGGAGAACGCATAATTGCGTCCTCGCGGAGCATTCCTTTCTCATTGACGATCTTGTCGAGAGTCCGGAAGCGTTCTGCGGTCACCGTCACATCCATCTTCTTGGCCAGCTCGAAGACCTTACGAGTAGGCTTCTGAAACTCGGTGTCAATAATCCCATTGTTGTTAACGGGAGACTTCTCTTGAACCGCGCGGATTTTGGGTCCATCGCGAGAGATGTGCGTGACATGCGAGATCGTCGGCGCAGGGATAGACGGAGTGAGCGAGGCGATCGAACCAATAGTGAGGGAGCCAGTGATCTCGGAGACTCCATGGACATGACTATGATCAGCCTTGCCCTTGCCCTTGTTGTCCTTGTTCTTCCCACTGCGCTTGCCTCGACGGTTCTTCTTCTTTCCATCAGCCTTATCACCCTTATCGGGTGCAGAGCCAGAGCCCTGTTGCTGATTGGTGAACGAAGGGTCATCGCGTTTGCGCTTGGTATTGAACTTGGCCACATGATTCTGGCTTTGAGACTGCTTCTGAGCAAAATGCGTCAAGAGAGCGTCACGAACCGCAGAGACTTTGATCTCGTCCTTGTCATAAGTCTGTAGAACAGTCTCCGTGACAGAGGGAATCCGGGCTATGTTGAGAATGATCATCGCTCTGAGGAACTCAGGGATGCTCAAAGACTCATTCTCCAGGCGAGCGAACGCCGTAGTGATCACCAGCAGCTGTGGATCCGGGTGCAACCCCACGTTGTACTTGGCGTTCAACGCGGTTTGGAAGTACGCGTACAGGTCGGCGCACTGAGCACCACCGTATTGGGTCTTCAGGTGCTCCCAGATCTTGGCAGCTGACACTATGTTGGCGGTTGGAATGTTGGCAATGACTCCCTCAGTCAGGCGCAACTTAATGCTGCCTTTGGCTCTGAGATCATCATGCTTCCATTGTTTGATCTCCGATGCGTTGGTCACAGAGCCATCCGTAGCCTTGACTTCGGTTGGCGCGGTCTCGGTCAGCACGTATGAGATCGCCTGATGCTCCAGATAGGACTCCATAGTTCCGGACCAGACAAGCCAGTGCTTTCCATCAAAGATGGAGACAGCATTGAAGATGTTGTTGGAGTTGGACGACATGTTAGATCTGTGTGAGTGATCAGCATCAATCTAATCTGATAGATGAATCAAAGATAAAGATGATCAGATCCTCATAGATCATAATCTCCTTTAGAGATCGATGCATCTGGATCAAGCGATGTAATCGCGATCCGGCATGGTTTCACCAGCGCTATGCAGCAGCTGAAGTGAATACAGATAGGCTAAAGACGCTGCTCATCGTTGCAGCCAGTGACGGCGCATACAATGAATGTCGCGGCCACTGAGGCGCAGACATAGCTCTCGGGGCCCATAACCTGTTGAGCACTGGGGAGAGCGTCTAGCAGCTCACCTGTGTGAGTGAGAGCTTAGTGTGGGCACTATGCGGGAGTAGTCAAGAGACTTGTATTAAAGGGTAATAGAGCCCTCCTTATATATGATACAGGGGGCCGTTTGTGTCTATTTGGGGCGAGTCGATATGACTCTAGATGACACGTGATGGAGTCATAGATATGTATCACGACATCCATCTTGACAGATGATATTTGATCAACAATGAGTGACGTACATGTCGTGAGCACAGGTGATGACAGCAGAGCATGTGACCGCGTTTGATGCTCGCGCCACATCTTGTCCGCGGTCTTTCGGTCATCGCCCGCTGCTCGACATAATATTGGTCGGTTTACGACGCTATCGATTCCAGCACTCTTACGATGCGAGGTAAGCCCGATCGAGTTTTTGGAAGTCTCCTTTAATCCCTGTCCTCGATACGATGAGGGCTGCCAACGCCGAGTTTGCAATCCGTAATCCCTCGGCCCGAGCTGTACAGGGCCCATCTATTGTCGCGTCTAATGGGATGCTGGTGAAGTAGACATTCAGCGAAGTGTCTTTACACGAAGGATGGGATGGATCGATGGATGGGAAAATCGCAAAGTCTCAGGGCTCATCTGTGATGCTCATGTACCACCTGCAGTCCTATCGCGCGTAGGCGCGCTGCTGCTTTCAATGCGCGCCTCGCCCCAACGCTTCTTGTCTGGAATCTCGCAATCAGAGACGCACGATCTGCCCAGCATATCTTGAAGCTCGACGAGACCAGCAGTCTCCGACAGACGATTCCCCCCGCGGCTTCTCCGTCGCATCCGCTTCCATCATCTCCGTGACTCGTGAGCGAGGATCTGCCTCCAACGTACTGCAAACGGCAAACGGCACACGGCAAGCTGGTGTTCGTAACGGCGAGCGATCGCCGCTGGAGTCTGGCCCACCGTCGACCCTTTTAACAAACTTCACCGCACGGAGGCATTCCGGCTCGCGAGCGATCGTCGCAGCAGATCTGGCAGGAAGAATGCCCTCCTCGGTATGCCGTCGGGAGATCCGTGTACGACCTGGGCGCCAACTGCTGCAGCGCGCGAATCCGTGGCACGGTCTGTGCCGGGATAGACTCTCTTATATGAACCTGGGAACTCGCCCGGATAGGTATGTCTGCGATGCGCGTTTATCCCGAGACCAATGCAGTCGCGCGCAATCAGGCTTCAGGGACTTGATGCACTATGTCTTTGCTCAGGGTGCTGGCGCAACCTTGGATGACCCGTATCTTGTGGCGCCGCTCGCACGACACCTCTTCCGCAGCGTCCGTTGCCAAAAGGGATAGATTGGGGAACCGATTTGTGAGCCGAGTCGCACCGAAATGCGACTTGGAATGTCTTGTTCTATGTCTCATGCGTGTGTGTCCATCGTGGTCGGCTCTTGTTGATGCTGTAGATCTGATATGTAGCGACTATCTGTTCTCAGAGATTGCTCGCAACCCATAATCGTCACATTGATTTTCGGCTTGGATCTGCTGTGTGGCGATTAATATCCTTTCCAGGCTGTACTCGACATTCGGGATATGTACGGAATGGAAAGTGGCCTCCCTCTCGGTTAGCTGTCACCTGCTCACAGGTCGCCTAACCTCGCAACATCTACTTCAAATCCAGCATGGAAGGGAATGCCGATGTGCGCTTACTAGCCTATTGCTACTTACTTCTATGTTATGGAAATCGAACTACAGCACTAGTACGCTTCCCCGGAAAGTTCCTATCACGGTGCTACTTCTTCGGGAAGTCACCGAATTCTACAGACTGCGTCCGTTGCCTGGCCTGGCCCTTCTGCATTGCGTGCTGAGCTATTCTGCCATATCAGTGGCGGGGAATCGCAGTCCCCGGCGGTGACCGTGTCTTTCGAATCTCCGGTGTTCCTCTGTAAGCAGACTTACATTGGCATTTGACGCTTTGATCTTATCTTGCCGATCGCTCCCTGTCCGATGCTCTTTTCGACTTCCATTGCTGTGGGCTGTAAGCTGTAGCCCACTCTCATCATCTTGGATGCATCTGAGTGCTGTTCGGCTGGCATCCGTTCTATCCTCTGTGATCGCTTGTTTGTCGGTTCCGCGTAGGGGGTCCCTTTCGAGCAGGCCATGCCGCCGCAACGTGTGTGATGAGAACGTGTTTGTTCTTTCTCGGATTTGTTGTGGTACCAAAGATGCACACCTACGCATGCGTGCAGCAGCGACTACACCGCTGCCGTGGGAGGAGACGAGGTATTTGGAGACACAGACCAGACTATTCGGGGTGCGATACGAATCGTGTCTGGGTGGAATGCTGATGCACTGCCACCAACGTTGTTTCATGTCTTCGATGTCGTGTCGTCGTCCCCCCTGCAAGTTCGGGATCACGGATTCCATTCCGCTTTCCGACCCAGGATCCGACCCCAAGAATGTAATTCAGCAGGGTGGCCCAAATGGGCGCTTTGTGAATGGTCTGCGGAGCCGTGGTGTCCGATCGCGAATTCAGCCAAACAGCAAACAATTGTCACGCTACACCCACGGCCTCTCCTAACTTGGTAGCAGGCGCGAGATGGCCCCGGCGCTGCGCGGAACGGCGGGCTCGAAGACGAGCTGTGCTGGCACGGGGGGTCTGGTTACGATTGCGTCAAAGTACGAAACTGGGGATGGATCGCACCTCAAGGCTTTTCCGTAACAGCATCCTGTTGTTACCCACGTTCAGATCTAACTGGTGAGTCACCGCAGTTTCACGTCATTGTCTTTATTGAGTACCTTGACGGAAGCGGTCGGTATAAAGGGACGAAGCGCAATGAGGCTGGCCAACACGCACGGAAGTTACCCATAAAAGCCTGTCTTATCAGCCGCCGCTCTTTCATTCGGACAGCCTGCCCCCCATGTCTGCCACACCCGCTACAATATCTGCACTACCCCCGTGCTACCCCTCCGCGCCGAGCTACTCTGTTGAGCCCGCGCCCGACGAGAAGCGGCTGGAGTTCAGCAGACGATACCACTCCCGTGCACAACCGACGGGCAACTTTGTTAAGCGCACGGAGGACGCTGCAGTCGTGTTGCTCGAGCAGGACGACGATGCGGAGATCCCCGTGTATGGACGCGGCGCGTCTATCAGAGGGTTCGTCACTATCGACCAGGACCGAGAGCTTGTTTCCGAGGTCGTAGTCAAAGTGAGTGCCTGGTGGCCGTGGGTTCGTCTTTGAATCTCGTGCTCATTGCGTGTGTTAGATCAAAGGCAGAATCGAGGCCATGGTCTCCGAAGCGGGTGCCCATAGGCAAACGATACTGGATGACTCGCACACGCTGTGGTCCTCATCGTCGTCGCGAAACAGTTCCGTCTGTCCCGGAGCTGTGCCGTTCGTGGTGACCCTCCCCACCCATTTCAAGCACTACTCGCCGACCGGGGCGCGAGATCTCTCGCTGCCCGCATCCTACGAGCTGCCGAACTCGACTGTTCCCGGCCTGTTTCTCAGGATATCATATATCATGCAGATCGTGGTGACCCGCGTTCGATCTCAGCGATGGAACTTCATTGCCAAGAAAAGCAAGCTGTGTGTGACCCTTGTTCAAACTGTTCGCCGTAGCTGATTGGAGTTGATCACAGCGTGTGTGTCCCGTTCAAATATAGCCCCCGCTCGCAACCCGCGGCGCCGATCCACCCGGTGTCTGACTTTTTCCTGGACATCAAGACGATGCCGGAGGAGTTCCGGCAGATCGTCTGGCAGCTCACGCCGCGGCCAAAATCGAGCGTGGATCCGCTGGACCTGCAGCTCTTCCTGCCGGCCTCCGGCGTTTTCGCACTGGACGACACGCTGCCCTTCCACGTCCATCTGTCCGGCCCCCGTGCGTCGCTGCGGCGCTTCGCCCCGGCGTCTGTGTCTGCGGCTGCGGGGGACGAGTCGCTTGCGGTGATGCTCGTGAGGCAGATCGTGTACGACCACCACGGCCAGCGCGCGGCGCGGACCATGCCGATCGGTCATGCGCAGTTGTCGTGCTGCCCGCCCCAGCCTGGTGTCGCACCGGATGGCGACGGCTCGCCAGCAAGCCTGGACTGGACCGGCGAAGTCAGGTGCAGCGAGCAGACGCAGGTCGCGAGCTTCATGGCGGGGTCTATCTGCGCGCAGGACTTTTTCGTCGTGCAGTTCCGCCCGGCGGGCTGTAAAACCAGCCAGCTGTATACCACCCTCCGCTTCTCGCTACCGGTCAGGATTGTCACTGAATCGTGGATGGAGAACTCGTGGCTGCGCTGATGTCGTGTTATCTGTCCCTTCTTGTACTATAACCACCTAGAAATTACGAATGTATGCAATACCGACGCGTTGTGTCACATCTCACGTGCGCCCAGCTACACTCTGACCTGGAAGTTGAACCAATTTCCCCAATTATCGAACTCAGACAATCATCGACTGATCGTCCTCTTCGATAGCGAAATTACTTTCCACGTGTCGCATGCTCGTTCCTGTTCCCCAGGCGTCTCTGCATTTATTGAACCCGGTAAACTACCGCATAAACGCGTCTTAAAACGTGCATACATCAGGGCAGGGGCATGCGTCTTGCCATTCTCGTCACAGTTACCGCAATGAAATTCGCGTTTCCTCTCAAGCCCCAAAAGGCAGAAATGCTCCGAACGGTGTGCAACATGAATGCTGTTACATTACATAAATCGCATACTGTATGTGCGGGGCGGCTCTTGTATCAAGCTCAGTGTGTGTGTGTGGATCCCGTTCTGGAGCCACGGTGCGGACGTCGACATGACGTGGATAGGGGTTTATTCCCGGTGCGAGTGGATACAGCCACGCGCTAATGGTTTGTGCCTGGATCGTTTGTGTATCATAACGCTAGATGGATGGGTATCAGCGATCCGGGCGAAGAGCAGAGAGCCGACTAGTAACTACTACGGACACTGCCAGCGCACAGTACGGGTTTGTGGGCAGGTGGAATGAAGACCGCAGTCGGAATAATTATCTAAGCTGCAAACAGCCCAGCAATTAAATTGTTTCGGCTTGTAGCACGATACGAGGGCATGAAGAGGGCCTTTGCATGGTTGTGCAGGTCCACCAGCAACGCCGCGAAAAAGCCTCAGCACGCGACTGTGGTGAAGGGGAAAACTTCGATGGTAGTGCGTTAGTAATCAAAGTTTCCTTCCGGTTGTATCAGCGAATGAAATGATGTATACTTTCTTTGAAGTTTGAAAATGGCTGCGTATGAGCCCGTGAGTGGGGATCAATTGCTGCGAAATCTAGTGAGGAGAGCAGATAGAAAAAGTCATGTTCGGCCATGAGATCAGCTTCATAGGCTTCATTGATTTGATCTGGGTTCACCGTCTTCTCTGTAGGGTGAGGTGACGCCTCTCGACTGTCTTCGTATACACTCAGTAAGTACGATTCGTCAAAACGTAAAAGAAGCAATATCCAACGCGTCCTGTCACGTCACGTGGACCTCATCACTTGAGGTATTCCTTTCCAGCGCTTCGATGTTGACTCGGGTCCAGGAAGCTCAGAAGTCCCGATTTGAGCAATTAAACTTACATAGAGACTTCTCAGCCTTCTTCAACGGTCTTGATCTCTGCATCAGTGCTCCTCGGGACCGATCTCATCAGGGCGAGCAACAGTGGTGTCCGGGACACACTGCTGAGCCACTCTCAGGACCTCCTCGGGATTCTCGAAATCCACTGGCGGATGATATGGCTAGATCAAACACGGTCTCGAAGGTCCGGCGAAATTCCCAAGGCACGTGTGGCACCTCATCAAGGAACTCACGCTCCGCCTGTCGATGAAACTCTTTAATGTATACAGTAGACGCCTTCGCGGGCTCATCTGACCGCAAAGGTATATAATCCACCGCTTGCGGGGCACGACCTTTTTTCATTCCCACTCACTATTCCTTCGATCCCTTCCGACTTCGTCTCTCATGAAGTTCGCTCCTGTCGTTTTGGCTTTGGGTCTCGCGGCGTTGGCTCTTGCAGCACCGCCTCCCACAACGACGATTACAGAAACGTCGCCCACTGCATCGATCTCATCCACTGCGTTCGTTCCTTCTCTCGGAGGCCGTGACTGAACGCTGATGAGAACGACAGATCGCAGAGCAGCAGCGCCTCGTCCGTCTCTGCCAGCGGATCGCTCACTTCCGCCTCGCTCTCGAGCGCGTCGTCGCTGCAATCTTCCTCGTCGAAATCGATCTCAGGGAGCAGCCACGTCACCAACACCCCGACGACGGTCAAAACGACTGTGAAGACGAGCACCCCGACCACAACTACTGCACAGCCTTCTACGTCCACCGTTATTTTCACCAGCGCTAGCTCTAGTACAGCGGTGTCAACGCCCTCTTCGTCGAGCGTGAGCGCCAGCTCGTCAGTTACCCCGACGTCGTCATCGCTTCCTCCGTCTGTGGTCACCACCGCGCCACCCGGAACCACCGTCTCCCAGAGCTCGAAACCCAACTCCGCCCGGAAATCTGTCGTGACGGGCTTAGGTTTTGCGATTGGTGCGGGGATCATGGTGGCTGCGCAGCTCATCTGAGCCGGTTGATGCACTCTATTTTTTCCTTGTGGACATTTGATTTGTTTCTAGGTAGGTAGACATTTGTTGTAAACCTGTTGTTAGTGCGACCGTTCAATGTTCGATTCCCGCAAGTCGGCCGCGAGTGGAGCTGTTTGATTCTTGGTGAGATCAAGCTGATGGCATCACGATCGACTTGGTATTGCCTCCCTTTGACCCTTCGGCCGCAAATTCGAATTTCGCTCTCACAATGCACATATCGCCGTTGCATATATTGAGGTCAGCCTGCGGAGGACTTACATACGGCTCCCCCCACTTGCGGTGGTAGTGCATCCAAAGTGACAAGACAACTCACTGGCAGAAACGTGACGCCAGCTTTGGCAGTCATATGGCTGGGGCACTAGAGGCGAGCAGAGCACGAGTTGTGCACATAGCCCCGTAAATTAGGCCTCCCGGGACCCAAATCTGTGGGCCCGTTTCACGCGTATCACACTGACTTCCTCCCAATGAGCCATCAGGTGGTCACTTGGAAGACACGGAGATGGCGCTCTCTGCACTGCGCTTGAGCTCCGCTGGGAAAACTACGTATGCCAAGCCCTACTTATCTGGCAGATGGATTGAAGCCCGAAATGCCCACTTTGATGGACGCAAACAGGAGTGGCCGGTCGACGTGCTAGCCGTCAACTGTCGCATCGCATCGAACAAGGAGTAGATAGATAACTTGTGACGACCAAACAAGGCTACTAGCCCCTTTTCCCTCTCTCCCACTCTGTTGGCCCGGTTTTTGTCTGCAGATCTTCACATTCGTTCCTGCTGTTCTGTTTCTTTTTCCGCCGCGGTAATGCCTGCAGCACCTGGCCTCGACTTCTCGGACGGCGCCAATCCGGACGATGTCACCTCTTCGGTACCCCGCAAGAACAAGACCGAGCGGCGGCGACTCCAGGGACTGCAGATGTCCTTCGCGAACTTGTCCAAGACGAAAGACGCCCCGATGCACGATCCCAGCCGGCCTAGGACGTTGAATGAGAAGATTAGCCTGTGGCTGATCAACGAGGGGCGCTCGCGCGTCTTTTTCGCAGTCTTTGTGATCCTGCATTTTCTGATCGCCCTGCTGGGCCTCCTGCACTTTGGGTTGAAGGACAATTTGACGAGCGCGCGGGCGACCTTTGGGGTGACCTTCAGTGCGTGTGTCCGTGCGGACTGATTCTGTTTCCTGACATCTCAATGGGCCAGTTATTGCCAGGGCCTCAGCGCTTGTGCTGCATGTCGACGTGATTTTTATTCTGCTCCCGGTGTGCAGAAACCTCGTCTCGGCTCTGCGCCGCACGCCGCTGGGCGATGTGATTCCTTTTGACGAGAGCCTCAGCCTCCACAAGGCAACAGGATGGGCCATCGTCATCGGGAGTGTTGTCCACACAGTTGCGCACGTCATCAACCTCGTCCACCTCACCATGGCCGATACCAACGCGCGCACGCTCGGCGCCCGCATTGGCTTCTTCATCTCCGCTAACTTCATCATCGGACCACTGATCACTGGGTGGATCATGTGGGTCCTCCTTGGCGTCATGGTGTGGTTCGCGCGCGAGAAACGGAGGACGGCCGCGAACGGGGGCTTCGAGCGATTCTGGTACACGCACCACCTGTTCATCCCGTTCTTTGTGCTGTGGCAGCTGCACGGGATGTTCTGCATGATCAAGCCCGACCGCCCGCCGTACTGCTCAGCCAACACGATCGGGGTCTTCTGGCGGTACTGGCTTGTCGGCGGTGTGATCTGGATAGTCGAGCGTATCCTGCGGGAGGTGCGCTCCCGCCATGTTACCTACATCTCGAAGGTGATCCAGCATCCGTCGGACGTCATCGAGCTGCAGATCAAGAAGGAGAGGACCAAGGCTCGAGCCGGGCAGTATATCTATCTCAACTGTCCTGAGATCTCGTACTTCCAGTGGCACCCATTCACGCTCACCAGGTCAGTTCGCAAGCAGCGTGTTATTTACTTCCTCCCACATCTGACTTGGTCGCGCAGCGCACCAGAAGAAGATTACCTCTCGGTCCATATCCGCGTCGTCGGCGACTTCACACGAGCGTTGGCTCGCGCCGTCGGCTGCCAGCTGGAGAAGCAGAGCGGCGCAGAGAGCAAAGTCGTCAGCACGGTCGCCGATGCAAAGATGAACCGCGTACTCCCGCGCGTCATGGTCGATGGACCGTTCGGCACCGCGTCGGAGGAGTTCATGAATTTTGAGACGGTGCTGCTGGTGGGCGGTGGCATTGGCGTGACACCTTTTGCATCGTGCGTCTCTCGTCCCTATTGCTGCATGTTGATGTTGGCCCTTTCACTGACGCCTCATCCCAACAAGGATCCTCAAGTCCATTTGGTACCGAATGAACAATCTCAGTTCCGAGCGGCGCACGCGGCTCTCCAAGGTGTACTTCGTCTGGGTCATCCGTGACTTCAGCGCCGCCGAGTGGTTCCACTCGCTCCTGCAGGCGCTCGAGGAGCAGGACTCGCAGAACCGCATCGAGATCAGCATCTACCTCACCGGCGGGCTCCGGGAGGACGACATCCACAACATCGTCGTGCAGGACGTCGGCGCCGATCACGACGCCGTCACCACCCTCCGCGCCCCGACACACTACGGCCGCCCAGCGTGGAGCAAGATCTTTAGCGCGCTCGGACAGAAGCATCATGGCTCGGACATCGGCGTTGTAGGTCGCCCTCCCTTATACATTGGATCTTTTTGGTCTCATGGAGTTTGCAGATGTATTGTGGGCCTCCCGCATTGGCCGGAACGTTGCGGACCATGTCGAATGAGCACTCGGATCCAAGAGGGGCACGGTTTTTCTTTGGAAAAGGTGG